AAATATTAAATATTAAAGATCTACAAACTTTGATTTGAAATAAATTACTAGAAAATTTGCAAATTAATTATGTAGTTCTCCTTTCATGGAAATGATTAAGTTTTCATTAAACCCGAGTGAACCCGCTTGTCGATTAAGAGAGTTTTGAAACTACCTTTATAATGACCGTTAGCTGAGTCAACTTTCGGTGGTTGCAACCCCCACATGAAATCAAGACAATAGTCCAAGCCTTTTATGGCCACTCTTCTCCAGTTCTACTTATCCCTCATAATTCTTTTTAACTATAATTTGTGTCACGTATAGAGTTTATCATCGAAGAAATTAGGGAGAAAGAAGTGGAAGAAATGATGGCGGAGACGGGGATGGTCATGGTAGGAGTTTTGGGACTATGGGCACGCTTTGTCCGAAAACCGCTGCTTGACCTCACCGGAGAAGTGATACAAGTAACCTCCGAAGTCATGTTGAGGATGTGTCGACGAGGTGCAACTTCTTATGTTCCTCTTTCTACTACTAACTCACCTCCCATCGATGGAAGAAGGTGATATGCAAATTTAATTTAGAACATTTGGAATTCTATAGGTACATAAAGTTTTTCCGGTTATTTGTAGTTTCAGATATATATATATATTCTATTATTTATCGAGCCAAAAAAAAATACTAACGTGAGCTTTTAAAGTTTACAAGATTGGAAGACTACTACCAACTACCAACTACCAATATAAACGATACTAAAATATTAAAAAAAACTTTGAAATGGAGGAACCAGTACGAGAGATGAGTGTGAGCCCACAGGACCATTAGATCATTGATGTGGGAAGAATTGGCTTGACGAGCATAAATTTTCTAATTTGTTGAGTTTGCATATACTTGGTGTGAGGTCCGTAAATGGTGTAAGTGATGATATCTCGTGTTCTTATGATGTATGAATACCTGAAACTAACCGCAATAGAGTATTCTTGAGGCTTGGTAGATCTATTGCAAGAGAAAGTGTGAGATATCTGTAAAATGATTAATTAGCAAAGTGTTACAAATCGTAGACCATATGTGACGAAAATCGACATAAGAAGAAGATGTGTTCTTGGGATCATGAAGCTGACTCGTGCACAAAAATTAGAATATTTATTTCTAACTTTTTACGGAAGTTTGGAGTTGAATTCCCATGTTCAAATATTTTTGCAATGATAGATCTGAGCATTTGGGTTTAAAGTTTACGAGCTGTATAAAACGTGGACACTTCTAACCACTACAACTATATGTAGATACACCGAACCGAACACGACTAAATTGATATCAAGGTTAAAATTTCTAGTTTGTGATAAGAAAGCCAGTATCGTTGCAACATTTGTTCAACATTTTTTTTTTTATAAACCGTGAGAGGTCTGGGCCAGCAATTGATAATACTACATTTATGGCGTAAATCACCTCTTCCAAGTGGAGTTGAATTAGTGACTTTAAATATTATTTTTCAAATCTCAAGACCACTAAACCACCAACAACTTCGTCATTAGTTCAACATTGCTCGGACTGAATTCCCAAGAAGGCTTTTCTTCTTTGCACGTATAAGCCCATTCCCTTTAATTTGTTGTTTTCTTACGAGCTATTCCGTTGCAATCCGAAACCTTATAGTTTTGATATACTTTGGCAAGAAGTATAAGAAGACAAGTAGATCCAATTGATCAATCACGTGACCCACATTACAAACACAACTTCACTGTGACTATTCTTGACTTGAGTTGGTTCCGACAAGTGGTTACCTTTAGGCGATAATCATGTGATCTTGTTTAATGAAACATATATTCTAACTAACGATGTATGCTTTTCTGGTGATTAGCCACTTTACCATCATTAACAATTATAGTTTCCAACCTTTTACACACATTATCAAACAAACAAAAACACTAGTTAAATTGTAACATTCAATAAAACTTCGTATTTCAACCATTTACCTTTGCGGGTATGGTTAACTGAATTTGAACGATAGATTTTTAAATTGATTTTAGAAAGAATAAAAAATAAGCATTCGTTAACTAGATTTAGGATAATTATTATGTATTATTTCTATTTTCCGTATTTTGATATATTTCCTATTTTAATTAGGATTAGGATTTTCTAGGATTTTCTGGTTTTCTTATAAATAGCCTACTATGGCTTCATTTTGTATTTAAATAAAAGTTTTTGCTTTGAGAGAGATTATTC